GAAGTCCACTCATCTTAAAGTGGCCAAGTTTGGACAACACTGTTCTAGCCCATTTGGCAGTTCAGATACCCAATCAATTTAGAGATGGAATAGAAGTATATTTGGGTTTTATTGATAATGTTCACTCTGAGATTACTTTGGAGGCAAAGAGGGCTGAAATCTAATGTAAGATGAGCAAAGAAATTTTTGATTCCTGAGACTCTTACAGAAACGTCTTCAGCGACAGAAATATTGTCCAGACCTAGCCCGTTCCGCAACAAAGGTTTGCAAATAACGATGACTCAATCATTTCTTGAAGAAATTAAATTCTCAGAGAATAATGATGATTCCTGGTTCTAACTCTAAACTAACGGTGACATTTTTACCATCCAGATAACATGCAAGAAATAAAGAGTGCAAGAAAAAAAAATGCATTTCTGGGTTACAGTATAAAGGGACATTTGGATGGGCTGTTTTATAATTTTATGCAGCAACGGGATGATTAATTTGGCACCCAGCACCCAGATGAGCAGGAAACAGCACTAGATAATCCAGGAAGCAACTGCACCCCAACCAAGACTGTTAGGGCAAGGGACTGTGTATTATCAACCAGCAAAGTCCACTCTCCCCTGCACTGATGATGTTACCTAGCGTGATAATGAAACGTCTGCAGGAAAATAACCAAGCTTAGAGCACCAAGAATACAGCACTAACAGGGCTTAAGATATGATGCAATAGAAGGGCCATCCTTTTTTTAGGCGTGTTCGATGCACATAAAAAAGGGTGGGGCTTTCAGCGCACCACTGTGGCCACCATCCTGACTTTTTCGACCTTACCCCCTCGCAGACACCCTTGGGAATGTATGTCTTCTGCGATAAGAGTGGAAAGGATAAATGAAGCTGGAAGAACTGCCCAAGACATGTGCAAATAGCCAGCAAAATGGCCCAGCACATCTTTCTCAGGAATACCACGCATGATGTGTGTCCATGAAACCCAGTGGTTAGATGGCTGCTTGCCAACAGGTAGAGATGCCTTTCAGTTGCCCTCAATTCCTAGCCATGAGATGGACAGAATGACACAATTTTTTTTGCTAGAATCAGGCCAGATGATACCTCAGACTAGAACAAGATAAAGAAGACAACTCATCCTTGGTCTCCTTCTAAGCTTGGCAGGCCACTAGCTCTAAGTCAGGGTGAGTGGGCTGCTGTTTCCTGCAGACACAAAGAAGAAAAAAGTGGAGTGAACTGAATGTGAGGACCCTACTCTCTTTGGGGAGACAAGAAGAAAACAAGTGTATATCAAGGTCTCTCTGGAAATTTGATGTAGAA